ATTATCTGTCTCATGTACTACTGTCAGGATATAGTGAAGGTTTCAGTGAATATGACAAAAAGTTATTTTGACAGCTTTAAGTCAGTAAATCTGAATACTCCTCCATGACTGATTGTACCATCAATATCTTTCTTATCTTTATAATCCCTAACAATGTATTTGGTTACTTTCGGTATCGACTAGCTGTGTGTTCATGGTCTCTAAGATTTGAAAGACACATAGAGTGGGGTTTTCTGTGATTCTTCCTCTTATATGTAAAGTAGACTTATTAATTATTAGTGTTATTACTCATTATTCTAAAGTGTCAGGGTGAGGTCAGCAATCACAGTTTAATCAGTTGTCAGTTGGGTAAGACGGTTGTGCATGACCTCCGTAGCACTGATCACGAGCCACCTGCAGACCAGGAATAGCAGGTCTGACTGCAGTCTAACTGCACCAGCAGTCTGTCGTTGGTGGGTTGTTTACATAAAAAAGAGCTTGCGCATGCTTTAGCCTTGAGCTTTTTTTTTTTGGCACTGATAATAAGTGCCACTTTACAGCATGTAGCTCATAATAGACTGGCATGTAATTCATCATGATGCTGCAGTGTGTGACAGTTGTGAGGGTATATGCACAATCGCTCACAGCATGTACTTTTAAATAATTTATCAGACAACAGTATACAGCAGTCACAGAAAATATTGATCTTAGTTTTGCACACAAGTGGACAGGCTTCTACTGTTGTTGTACATTTTTTATGTAATACTGTGGCTCTGTAAAAGGACGAGTGCATTCTGCTGATGACACTATTTCACTTAATACTTTAGTGAAATATAATGTTGAATGCAGGACTTTTATTATTTTATTTCTAATGGAGTATTTTCACATTGCAGAATGTTGTGTTGCTTACATGAATGGATCTAACAATGCATTTAAGAGACAGCTACATGTATTGATAATGAGTTCTTATTGCTCCCTGAGGAATTTCTCTACATGGAGACACTTACGCAGGCCGAACTCGTTGCTCTTGGTGAAATTGAAGGCCTGCATCTGGTCTTGAGTGACTTCTAGGTACAGTCCATTGCCCATGTAGAGTGACTGATTCTTGCAGGAGTAGGAGTGTCCAATCTTTGCAGGGAAGAGCTGCATTGACTTGTTGTTGGCAGAGTACTGGCCATTACCTGCAACAGTTAAACAAAGCAATGCTCACTTCTTTCCAGGTTAAAAGATAGTTCCCAAAAAAAACACATACTGATGATCAGAAATAGACTGAACTTGTTAGACCACATTCTACTGAAAGCAGGTCGGTTGTTCCCGGCACCACGCGCTCAACAGTAGTTTCACAGATTATTTTTACACCACACAAACAAGGAAGTTGTTGGCTCTTGAACACTTGTTGTCTGTTAATATTTGCCAGTCTTGCACAAGCCCCACCTGGAGCTCGTTGCAGTGCACACACAGTGACCTAATTAGAGGAGCCTGAAGTTGAATCAATAAGGTGACGGCAAATCATATGTAGCTTGACTGGAATCAAATGTGATTATTTCTGACTTACCTTTTCCTTTGTTGAAGGGGTAGGAGAGGCTAAAAGACAGGGTATCAACGTAGACGGTGTTATTAGCAACACTCTGAGGACATAAAAGAAATACAGATTTTTAAAGTATATTTTTTTGGGCTTTTATTGCCTTATTATAGTGACAGCTGAAGACAGACAGGTAAG